TCTCTCTCTCTCTCTTTTTCTCTTTCTCTCTCTCTCTCTCTCCTCTCTCTCTCTCTCTCTGCACAATGAGAATATATCTGCTGAACAAAACTCCACATTCGCAACAGGAAGGGCATCCAGCCAGTAAACATTCGGCTGCATTCAGTTGCCCAGACTCCACCCCTCAAGGGATTATGTGGGGTCACGAAAAGAAGATGAGCAGAGGATTGAGAGACTGGCTGGGTTTCAAAAAAGACAAGGACCAGCAGAAGATCACATGCTTTTGACTCCTAACCTTGACTTCATTTTGCCAAGAACAAAATACTGTGTGTATCACGGCTGACTACATATTAATAAAGGAGGGAGGGGTGTTTAAAAATGTAAACAATGGTGGCGCCACTCCTTAAACCTGGAAATAGAGTAGAGCCAACAATACTTGGCTCCATTTGCTGAGAAAGTTATAATTTGAATAGAAGTCAAGTGTTTTGCAGTATTTGCAAAGCCGGAACGGAGGATTGCGTGCCCAAATTCCTAAGTTCTACTTTTCTATCCCTTAACCATCTCTCATTGCTCACCCCTTTGTAACCAATCAGGGTTAGACAAGATCCGTTTTTTATAACGGTCAGTCCAAGTGTAGTTTGGTATGCAACCCTCTCCTTCTTCCGGCTGGGTGACCTTGAGGCAGCTTCTTGAGAAAGTTCAGTTTCTACTTTCTATTTCCCAAGTGTTCCTCCTTCATTCCTCCTGCTCACAGTTCATGGCAGCCTGTCACCGCATAAACAGCGGAAGCGCAAACAAGCATAAGGTGGCAGCTGACAGGCGGCTCCCATGGAATCTCCCTTCTGTTAATCCTGCTTTCTTACTTTCTTGGTCTCCACTCTAGTGCAGAGAAGTGGGAAAACAGAATCAGTCGGACCGTTGTTCCTTCATCCAGCATAACCCGAACTGCAAGATGGACAGTGGCTTCCTCAACTACCTCAACGGAGTTTTCTGCATCTTCCCAGCAGCTCTGCAACCTTTGGCCATAACCCTCTATGTAAGAATCTCAGCGAGAAAGAAGACTTCTCAATTTTTTTTCTCCTTGGATGGTTCTTTTCCCCCCCCTCTCCTTCGAGATTTTTAAGAAGTTCCTGTTGCCCCAGAAAATTTGGGTACTTTTACCTGCCATGCAATGGACCATACCATATAGCTGGAATTAGTGGTGGGATTCAAAAAATTTTTTACTACCCATTCGGTGGGTGTAACTTGGCGGGCGTGTTTTGTGTGTGTGCGCACACACACTTTGCGTGCACGCGCACCAAATGTGCGCTATTTGCGAATTAATCCCCTTGGAAGCTAATGGCTATGTTATCTGATTTCCCCCATGGCTCTCCCTTGCAAGCGCTGACTGGGTTGCTTATCTAGCTTGCCACACTTTTACAAGGTGTGAAATGCTCTTGGCTGAATGCCCAGAAGTTCAATTAAGCCTATTAAGAGCTTTCCCTTTCTGCTTGTCTTTCTGAGGTAATTGGAGGCTCTCCGAGCTCCACAGAGTCTTAGCTAGGGGCTCTCTCGAGCCCCCGCGAGCCCCCAGCAGCCCACCCCTGGTCTCAAACCATCTGGGGCAGGACATGCCTGGTTGGGAAGGTTGGATGATGTTTTTCCACCTCCTGTTTTACAGCAAATGCCCTTGTCTTTGGTTTCTTGTAGGTCCTTTGGCTTTTCTACCTCTTCGTTATCCTTGGGGTCACGGCTGAGAAATTGTGAGTGGTAAACCCAGAATCCAAATCCCACTTTCGGAGCCAAAGGCTTTTTTCAGATAGGACCTTCGGGCTCAGAAACCGTTTTCTCCTCTTGTGTGCAAAAGATGGATTGGGGTTGAAGAATAGACACCGTGGCTGTCTATCAGCCCTCCGATGGAGAGTCAATAGCCCCCAGGTCTGGAGGTGGCTGATGAGGAAGAGGAGGAACAACTGGGCCCAGTGTCTGACGTACGAATGCGCAGAAGGGAGAGGAGAGCAGTGGAAATCTATGGGCCGGTCCTTGGGATGGAAGAGCCAAGACCTCCGCTATTCTGTTATTAGTCTTGAACTGAGAAGTTATCTGCAGGAGACAAGGCAGGGAGGGACAGCGATGAGAAGGGAAGTAGCATTTCAGAAATGTTTAATCGTTCTCTTTCTTTCTTTCTCCTTCTAGCTTCTGCCCTAATTTATCGGCCATCTCCACCAAGCTGCGTCTGGCTCATAATGTGGCAGTATCCTTTCGTAGGGCCCCGCTCCATCCTGTCCTTTGTGGGTCACAAAGTGGGTGGTGAAAGAGAAGGTCCCAGAAGGACAAACCCGTAAAATGGAGAAGGTGGACCAGGGGGAGGATAAGAGTTGGGTGGAGAATTTGGGTACAGTCAGAACGGGTTGGTGAAAATGTTGCAGCCTTGAAAATGGCAATGGAAACCACTTTGAATTAAATGATTGATGATGATGATAATGATGAGTATCATCATCATCATCAGATGTTTGAGCAGACCCCAAAGGACAAATATCTTTCAAAAGAGGCTAGCTTTCTTTTCCTCCCAAGCAAACCATACGCCAATTCTGTGAGTGAAAACGATCAGTGGGAACCACTTGCCTTCAACACTGGAGGTTCTGAAGAAGAGTTTGGACAGCCATTTATCCATAGGATCGCCTGCTCTAGCAGGGGGTTGGACTAAAAGACCCCCCCCCCCAAAAAAAGTCCCTTCCAAATTGTTCTATACTAGCTGGATACCCGTGCTTCGCTACGAAACGATGTGATCAGGCTTAGCTTTTTGTGGAGGAAAATAAGGGGGGGGAAATTCTTCCTCTGTCTACCAGCATCCATCGGTATTCATCTGGCCAGCATCCTGTCAGTGTGCGAGAGAGTTGAGGGCTGTTTGGAAAGTGAAACAGTATTTGCTGTATGAGCAAGAAGGAGAAGAGCAAGGAGCCTGGGTGTGGCTTAGCTCAACTGTTCTATACTAAAGCTGCTTGATGCTGTGAAAACAAACTGAAATTCCTCTCCTCGGCTTGTGTTTTGCATTTGGAAGAGATTTATTTTCAGGTGGGGAGGGGGAGTAGAACTCCTTAGCATCAGAGCGTGTTAATAATAAAAATATAGGAAATACTAACACTCTGATGGTCATTTTGAAAAATTATTTCTTTGTGAACCCCTGGAAGCCAAGAGGAACATAGGTGCCAAATTTCAAGTTTAGGCTTTATGGTTCTGGAGATTTTGGGATGATGCATGAGTGGTCTTTCGCTTTTATATATAGAGAGTGTAATAAGCTTTATGGCAAGTAATTTGCTGGCACTGGGGACATACAGGCCAGCAGAATCATGGAATGAAGCCCACTCCTGAGCAGTGGTCGTGGTGGCTCTTCTTTCCTTAGCCCTTCCTCCATGGTGTCACCTTTCTGGCTTTTGGAAACGGAGCACCTGATATCTTCAGCGCGGTGGTTGCGTTCTCTGATCCCCGGACGGCTGGGCTAGCCATCGGAGCTCTCTTTGGTAAGAATGACAAAGGGAATGGCCGGGTTTGTGTCCTGTCTCAAACCAAGGTGTGTTTGAACTCTTGTGTCACGCACCAAGAATGGGGACCGGGCCTTAAGCCAGAGTCAAGAAGATATATTGCTCAAGGCTGAACCCAAGAATCCAGTCAACTGATTTCAATTGGTGGGAGATAAGAGTCAGTGAAAGTCAAGAGGACTCGGATTTAGACCTTCTGTGGGAATGTAATGATTCTAGGCTGATGACTCACTTAATTCTGCCCCTCTAGCTCTGCTTGTTGCTCTATGCTATAGTTGATTAGATAATCAACTATAATTTAATTTATATAAGTTGATTGCAGGGAGTACGATTTCAGCAACAGAGTGGTCAATGTCTGGAACTCACTACCTGACTCTGTTGTCACCTGCTCAAACCCCCCACTCCTTTACCCTCAAATTAACCTCTATTGACCTCACCCCATTCCCAAGAGGTCTGTAAGGGGTGTGCATAAACGCAACAATCGTGCCTACTGTCCCTGTCCTATTGTCCCCAATTATTCATACCTATTTCATGTATTTATACTTATGTTTATTCTTCTTTCTATTATATTGTAAGCATTTGACGAAATCAAATAAATAAATAAATAAGCTACCATTGACCTAGGTGCTCAGATTGGCAGGGTGCAAGGCCAGGTTTCAATTCAGTACGCTGTCAAGTAAGTACCTACGGAGCTTAATCTAACGCATGGCCAAAACATTCCTTGCTGTATTCCCTTTGGGATAACCTTTATTGTCATTTTTTATTGTGAGCACACTGGCCCACATTAAAAATGAAATCCTGTTGCCTGCTCTCAAAAGAAAGTATAGATCTACCCATACATATATATAACACACATATACACATGTTATATACATCTATCTATCTCAATTCTCTCTCTCTCTCTCACACACACACACACACATCTCTCTCTCTCCCTCCCTCCCTACCTATCATCTATCATCTATCTAACAATTATCTGAGATCATTCTCCACTTCCATTCCTCCTTTAGACCCAGATTTCTCTTATCAGACCCTTGTCTCAGCTGAAGTTTTTCCTCCTGTCTCCCAAGGCCATTCTCACATCCCATCAGAGTATATATGGCTGAGAGAATGGAAGGAAGGAAGGAAGGAAGGAAGGAAGGAAGGAAGGAAAGAAGGAAAGAAGGAAAGAAGGAAAGAAGGAAAGAAAGAAAGAAAGAAAGAAAGACCCTCCACCCACCTTCTCTTTTTGTTTTTTTTACTAGGTGCTGGCATCTTTGTCACCACGATAGTCGCTGGTGGCATAACCCTTGTTAGGCCTTTCACTGCCGCTTCTCGTCCCTTCCTGCGGGATGCCATCTTCTACATGGTTGCAGTGTTCCTGACTTTTGTGGCTCTCTATTTTGAACAGGTCACTTTGGCCGAAGCTCTGAGTAGGTATTAGGAGGCAAAGTGGGGGGGGGGCTTAAAAAAATTCTTGTTGGGAGGTAAGACAATCCCTCTTCAGGTTGACTTGATTTTGACCAACACGGATAGGTAAAATAAGGTAAAGGTTCCCCTCGCACATAATACGTGCTACTTGTTTCCGGCTCTAGGGGGCGGTGCTCATCTCGGTTGCAAAGCCGAAGAGCCAGCGCTGTCCGAAGACGTCTCCGTGGTCACATGGCCGGCAGGACTAAACGCCTTTGAAGGCGCACGGAACGCTGTTCCCTTCCCACCAAAGGGGTCCCTATTTTTCTACTTGCATTTTTTTACGTGCTTTCGAACTGCTAGTTTGGCAGAAGCTGGGACAAGGAACAGGAGCTCACGCGGTTATGCGGCGCTAGGGATTCGAACTGCTAAACTGCCGACCTTTCTGATCGACAAGCTCAGCTTCTCAGCCACGGAGCTGAGAATACTTAACCCTAGAATACTTAACCTCATGCAATGCTTTTACTAGAGTTGGCTTCTTTTCTTACTACGGAAACTCATTGGGCAGGAGCTTTTTAATTTATTTGAAATTGATTTCATATATATATGAAGTGGATTCATTAGCTTGTACGCTGAACCGGAGAAAGTCTGATGAGCAGAGAAGACAACGTCAACTGCTGTGGTGTCTCTCCGTTCACAGGTTTTCTTGGACTTTACATCTTCTATGTCTTGACTGTGGTGGTTTCAACTTGGCTTCATAAGAGACAGCGCAGGGAAAGATCGGCCCCATCCAGCCATCCAGAACCAGGTGAGAGGTGGTGTATCTGTAGGCCAGAGATGGAGTGGACTCCAAGATGTTCAATAGTCCAGGTCCCATGAGCTCCAAACCAACATGATCAAAGATCAGGAAAGATGTCACTTGGCTTCAGCTTCCTTATGAGGAACCTATCTCTTCTACAAGAAGGCTTTGTGTTTTGAATGGAGAAGGACAGGAAGTTAGCTGGTGGCAACTACTGGTACAAAGTGACCTGCTAGGAAATAATTAGAAGACAATTATCTGAGATGAGTGTTGCAGTGACCTAGAGGAGGCTGTGAGTTCGATCCTATGTAGAGGCAAAATATTTCTCTCTCTGGGCACGTTGAGAATAGGTCTGCTGAAAAAAAAAAAAAACACCTCTGCATTGGCGACAGGTAGGGCATCCGGCCAGTAAACGCACAACTCTATTCAGTTGCCTAGACTCCACCCAGCAAGGGATTATGGGGTCATTAAAAGAAGATGATGAATCTTGCCTATCTGAGATGCCAGAGCAAATCGTGCTAGACAAACTTCCTTCAATATTCCATCATCTTGCTTTACATCGTCACCTGAAGCTCAAGATTTGCATTGTATGAATATGACAAACATGTTTTCTCTCTCTCTCTCTCTCTCTCCCTCTCCCTCTCTCTCTCTCTCTCTCTCTCTCTCTCTCTTTCTCTCTCTCTCTCTCTTTCCAGAGCTTTCAACGGATTCTGAAGAAGGTGACAATGCAAATGTGAATGGGGGTAAGGCATCCTCCATTTTCCAAGCACAAAGACGGCTTAGAATTGATGTTAGTTGTTTGTGAGGCCTACAATGCTCTTCCCTTACAAGATTCTCAAGCCGAAAATTCTTTCAGCGAACCAAGTTGAGAGGTTTCCTTGTTTCCTGAGGATCTTCAGAAAGGAGGGAACAAAGTCCCTATTCTGGCTGAATTTTTCTGTTTGCCTGAAAATACGACCTACCCTGAAAACAGCTTGATTTTTTACACGTGTGCCCAATCCTACCCCTAAAATAAGCCCTAATTAAGGCCCCGACCACGCCAGAATGGACGGATAAAAAATAAGCTAGGGTGGTGGTGGAGCTGCCCTACTGCTTACCTTTGAACCGTTGCAGCCAGGCCTAGCGCATCCCGACACCTGCCTTGCCATCCCATTTCTTCTGCAAGGCTGGCAAGGCCTCTGGAGCTGATAACAAAGCTCTGGATCGATCCTGAGTTATTGGCTGTTATTGGCTCTTCAAGAAAACCTTGCCGGCCGCAGAAGAAGAAGTTCCTGAATGCCTCTGACAGCACAAAGGAGGCCGGTGGTGGGGCGATGTGCGTAAAGTGACGTTAGTCAGTGGATGACATCCTCCGAAAATAAGACCTGGTGCCTTTCTTCGGTGGCAAAAATAAAAAATGAAAAAAATAAGACAGGGTCTTATTTTCGGGGAAACACGGTAGAAGCCCAGGAGCCTGTGAGGTCTAGCCCCCATCTTATAGACACAAAGCCAGCTGGGTGACTTTGGATCCATCCTTATACTCTCTCGATTTCCTAAAATGGAAATAACCAACCATTTCTATCCCGGCTTGGAAAAGGGCAGTAACAAATCTTGGCGATTGCCAAATGTTACGATTGACGTGAAGGCCCCAAGAAATGCAAGAGAGAACGAGACGTTTTTTGAGTCCTGACCGTCTTTTAGAGCTTCTCGTTCCTTTCGCTCGTACAGAGGAAGAATATCAACCGCTGCTGCCCTTGGAGGAGACGACGTTCCGGATTCTGACTCAGTCCATCAACCCTCTGGATTATAGGAAGTGGAGGAGGAAACCCTGCTATTGGAGACTGCTCAAGGCGTGCAAGGTGAGAGCTACATCTTTCATATAATAATATATATTGAGCTATATATGAATCTCTCTCTCTCTCTCTCTCTCTCTCTCTCCCCCTACCTACCTACCTACCTACCTATTCATATATAGCTCGATACCCATGCTTCACTATGAAACTATGTGGTTGGGCTTAGTTATTGGGGAGGAAAATAAGGGGGAAAAATTCTGCCTCTGCCTACCAGCATCCATCAATATTCACCTGGCTAGCGTCCTGTCAGCGTGAGAGAGAGAGCTGAGGACTGTTTGGAAACTGAAAGAGTATTTGCTGTGTGGGCAGGGAGACAGCAGGGAGCCTGGGTGTGGCTTAGCTCAACTGTTCTGTACTAAAGCTGCTTGGTGCTGTGAAACTGAAACTGAAACTCCTCTGCTTGTGTTTTGCATTTGGAATAGATTTCTTTTCAGGTGGGGAGTGGGAGTCGAACTCCTTAGCATCAGAGCGTGTTAATAATAATAATAATATAGGAAATACTAAGGCTATGATACTAAGTTCATTTCGAAAAATCCTTTCTTAGTGAGCCCCTAGAAGCCAAGAGGAACATAAATGCCAGATTTCAAGTTTGTAGGCTTTATGGTTTTGGAGATTTTGTGATGATGCGTGAGGGGTATTTCACTTATATATAGATAGATATATAAAAAGAAACCTTGAATCTAAATGGTGCAGTGTCTCCTCAGGGGACATCTAAAAGCTTCTGGCCCTTCTAAACTGCATCAATCTTCTCCTTGTGCCATATCCGTCATCGGACGTTGGCGATCCTGTTGACGATCCTATTTTTAGTTCGTAACCAGAAGCCCCCGTTCAAAGCGGCCAAGCTATTTTCTAAAGCGCCTGTAGGCCAGACAAGGAATAATGGATGGAAACTGAACAAGGAGAGATTCAACCTGGAAATAAGGAGAAACTTTCTGACAGGGGGAACAATCAACCCATGGGACAGAAGTTGCCCTCGGAAGTTCTGGGAGCTTCATCACTTGAGACTTTCAAGAAGAGATTGGACTGCCGTTTGTCAGAAATGGGCGGGGGGTTGGACTAGATGACCTACAAGGTCCCTTCCAACTCTGATTATCTGTTAATTCTGGAGCTGACCGGAAGTCTGGTTCCCCCACCATAGCCTCTCCTCCTAGCGCAGCGTCCTTTTTCCTAAAGCCCTATCAATTGTGGAGCCGACTGGCAATAGGGAGCCGCAGCGGGGGGGGGGGGGATGAAAGAGCCACATGTGGCTCTGGAGCCACAGGTTGCTGACCCCCTGGGATAGAATCTCCAAATTCCCCACCAGGAAACTAAAGGAGAAATTTGTGTTTTTCTCCCTATCGTTTCTTCCCATCATTTTTCATTCCAGAACCAACATTATTTCTGCTGAGTGGACATTTAAGAGAGAGGATTTTAAAGGCCGGGGCTCTTCCTGTTGCATCTCTGCAAAGCACTAGACCGACAAGTTCTATTGTCCTTGAAGCCAAAAGAGCTCGTGACTTCTCTTTCTCTTCCTTCTAGAAGAAACACATGAGGAATACGGGGGAGGTTTGGGCGTGCCAACAGACACACAGAACAGTCGTTCCACATTTGTTGGTAATAAATAATGCAGCTCCTTGTGGTTTCCAAGGCGTAAAGTTACAGGCAGCGCCGAGACCCCTTCATATTTCTTGTGGCAATGATGCTGGTGACTCAATCCGAGACATAAGGAACGGCGACGTTTCATAAGCGCCAGTTTGGTCTAGTGGTTAAGGCACCCCAGGCTAGAAAGCGAGAGACCGTGAGCTCGAATCCCACCTTGCTCTCTCGGTGACGTTGGGAGGGTTCTTAGCGGTCCCTGGATTAGGCTATTGTTTCATGTTTGATTGTCTGAGTTGGGGATTCCTTGAGAAGCTGCTTGTATGTAAACAGAAGGTGAATTTCACTCCCTTCAGGCACTGATGACGTTACCTA